ATTATGGAGTGGGTTCTGGGAAAGTTCGAGGGGTAAGAGAGCTTGGAGAAGCGGGCATGGGGATCAGGATAAAACGGGTACGAGCACTCCAGGTGCATAGCGTCAGGGACCTGGCCTCGAGTTTAATCACTCCGGGGGCTCGAAACATATGGCCGAATACAACAACATCGCTGGCTAAGCAGAGGTCCAGAAGGCGTCTTGCAGCGTGGGTTCGATGGCGTCCCTGTCAAAGTTGAAGGCACGCATGCTGCCATACTCCAACTCGGTGGCAGGCACGGGCGTGATCCTGAGAAGCGGCTTCCACTGTGATGACACGACGCCAGCGTGGCGATCCACGTAGAACTTTACGGTGGTGTAGTCCCTGCAAGGATACTCCTAGCAGTCTTCGTCACAAAGTCACACTTGATATGCCTCGGGTTCTGGTCGAGGGACATGAACAGCTCCATGGGGATGTTAGAGCCGCTCGGCATGATGTTGCGCCCAAGCCCATGCAAGTTCAGGGCATCAGTCCCTGCTTTGCTGTGGCGTGCTGCGCTTCGACCTGCCACCTGACCAATAATCAAATGCACAATCCAAAAATCCTCCTCCCTCTTCCCTTCGGCGACTCCGAAGGGTTTCGGTTGCAAAGGTTATGGCTTGTAACAGTCACCCTTGGGGGCACCCTGGGCGGCGGGCGAGGACCTCGACAGAGCTTTCCGCCGCGCCCCGAGGAGGCCCGACGATGACAGCGTCGTGCTCCCCATGCCCAAGCGGTGCCGATCGCAAACCACATCCAAGCTTAACCAAACCCTGTGTAGTCGCCGATCCCTGCTCCCTCCCTCCATCGCTCCCTCCCTCCCACTCTCCCAGGCCCCGAAGGAGCCCTGCGCTCCCTCCCTCCCTCCCTCCCTCTGGTTCCTGCCCCCCCCCCTCCTAAGAGAGGCCCGGGGGCACCCGAGTTGGTCCCCACCCCCGTCACCAAGGGGGACCCCCGGGCGTTGTTATGGCCCGGGGTCCTTGGCAACGAAACAGCATCTTCCAAACACAACCTCTGGAAAGTCTGGCCCCGTGGCATTCAGCCTCTGAAAGTACAGCCATGGCCATATATTTGGCGTGTGCGTGATTTCGGGCCCTGCGAAACCGAAGCCGTTGACACGCCAAGCAGCGCATGGGCGCACACGCTAAGTGGGGCCAGGCGCCACATCCCTCCGGCAGACGCGAAGAACCGACCACGCAGGATGCACGCTGAGTGCAGAGTGTAGAGGCGTATGACCAGCCACACGCTACAGGACCACGACAGTGAGTTCGGCTTATCCCTCCCCTCCTCCCATCCCCTCCTCCCCTCCTCCCTCCTCCTCCTCCCTCCCTCCTCCCCTCCTCCCTCCCTCCCCCCCTCCCTCCTGCTTATCCCTCCCTCCCTCCCCTCCTCCTCCCTCCCCCCCTCTCTCTCCTCCTCCTCCCTCCTCCCCTACCTCTCCCTCCCCCCTCCTCCCCTTCCCTTCCCCCCCTCCATCCCTCCCTCCTCCCCTCCCTCCTGCTCCCCTCCCCTCCTCCCCTCCCATCCTCCCTCCTCGGCCCCGGATGAGCCCTGCGCGGCGCCGCCCTCAAAACAGGGACAGTTTCTTGGCGGGCCCGCCGCGGCCCCCCTCGCCTCGGGCGGAGGTCGTGTTGGGGGGGGGGGGCTCGGCCGCTGGAGGGCGTCGGTGCGAGGCGGCTTCTCGGGAGGCCCTCTCTGGACTGCGAGGCTTCGACAGTCTGGGGATCCGCTTGCCTCCTGCTCCTCCTCCTGCTCCTCCTCCGCTCCTCCTCCTGCTCCTCCCATCTCCCTCCTCCTCCTCCTCCTCCTCCTCCTCCTCCTCCCTCCTCCTCCTCCTCCTCCTCCTCCTCCTCCTCTCCTCCTCCTCCTCTCCTCCCTCCGCCTCCTCTCCCCTCCTCGCATCGCCATCGCATCAAGAGCAACATAGCCCGTAGCCTGTACAAGGTGAAGCGAGCAGGCAGAAAGACAGAGCGCGAATTCATGCACAGGGAGAAGAGGGGGAGGGGGGGGGGGGGAGGGAAGGCCCAGGCCTAGCCCTGGCTACCACGAGGGTAGTTGGGAGGCCCATGAGCCATGCAGTCATCCGCCAACTGATGCTGAACGTAGGGGTCGAGCGGCACGTGGAAAGCCGCCGCCCATTCAGGCAAATCCCACTCAGTCAAAGCGCCGCGCGCGCTGGTGAAATTGCAATGAATATCGGCAAGCAGTGAGGAAGCGAGATGACGGCAGAGGGCGTTGGGATAGACCTTATCACGACCAGTCGCCCAGGAATTATCGCCGTGGAACCCCAGGAGCGCCACGTGGGCGCACCCCCCACATCGGCCTCTCCGAGGCCTGCAGTCCGTGAGCCCCCGAAGCGCAGGACAGTGGACCGAGAGAAGCCGCGTGGGCAGAAGGGGAGGGCTGCCAAACTGACACTGATCAATATCGACAGCCTGCACATGGGGCAAACGTGCAAGCCTGATCATTTCGGGGAGAAGCCCAGATGAGGGGATGCCAAACCTGGGGTCGCGCGGGGCGGGATGTTCCATGATACAAGGAACAGGGTACCTCCAACACTGATACGTGAACCGTATCATCGTCTGAAGAAACGAGCTGCCGCGACCCACCTGTTCAGCCTCGCGGGGCCTCAGGTAGAGGAGGCCCCAGGGTTGATCAGGAGACCTGACGGGTCGGGGGGCCGAGTGGTACCCTCACATGGGAGATGGCGAGCCGCGCTCCATGTTTCACACGGCGGTCCACCCAGCAATCCCAAGACGTGTCCCTGGGCCACAAGGTCCATCCATAGACCCACCGTCTCAGGATCGGTGAGATCCCCTTTGGTGGCAGAGTGCGTCACGTCGATGCTGAGTATGTATATGCGCATGGGATGCTGCTGCAACAACTCTTCAAAGTGGTGCTGGACATCATGCTCTCTGCGATGACCAGAGAAGAGATGCAATACATATCCCTGCGGCTGCGGGGGCGGGGCTTGGGGGCTCCTCCTCCTCCTCCTCCTCCTCCTCCTCCTCCTCCTCCTCCTCCTCCTCCTCCCTCATCCTCCTCCTCCTCCTCCTCCTCCTCCTCCTCCTTCTCCTCCTCCTCCTGCTCCTGCTCCTCCTCCTCCTCCTACTACTTGTCGTCGTCATCATCAATATCATAATCAGCAGCATCATGTTCAGCATCATCATCTTCATCATCGTCATCATCATCACCATCGTCACCATCAACACCATAATCATCCTCATCCTCATCATCAGCATCCTCATCAACATCATCGGCATCAGCATCATCATCACCGCCAGCATCATCATCAGCGGCAACAGCATCGCCATAATCAACATCATCATCAGCACCATCATCAGCAGCATCATCAGCAGCATCAGCATCATCAGCATCATAATCAGCGTCAGCAGCATCACCATCATCATCATCATCATCATCATCCTCATCATCATCATCAGCAGCAGTAGCAGCAACATCATCATCATCATCATCATCATCATCATCATCATCATCATCATCATCATCAGCATCATCATCATGATCATCATCATCGTCAACATCATCATCGTCGTCGACGTCGCCATCGTCGTCATCATGATCATCAGCATCAGCATCAGCATTAGCATCAGCATCAGCATCAGCATCATCGTCATCATCATCATCATCCTCATCGGCATCATTATCGGCAGCAACATAATCATCATCATCATCACGTCACATCATCATCACATCATTAGCATTATCCATGCCACATCATCATATCACATCATCAATCATCATTCATCATCCAGCATCATCACATCAACATCATCTCTAGCATGATCATCATCATCAGCATCATCATCAGCATCAGCATTAGCATCAAGCATCATCATCACAAAAAACAACCCTCATCAACAACAACAAGCCATCATCAAACAACATCGACAACTCCCATCAGCATCAAAGGATGATCAAACAGAGTCAAAAGACATCAAACATATCACCGTGTGTTTGTATTTATAACAAAAAAAAGAAAAAAAGAGCATCTCAATCGTCCATCAGCAGCATCATCATCGTCGTCATCGTCGTCACTATCATCATCATCATCATCATCATCATCATCATCACCAGCATCATCATCATCATCATCATCATCATCAGGCGAGGTCCCAGAAAGATGCTATGTATCCCCCTCCCTTGGAAGCTCCCGAAGCATGGGAGGCAGCCCGGGAGTCCGGTCCGAGGCAGAAGCCACCCTGGGTCTTCTGGAAACGAGCAGAGCCCCCCCGAAAAAAGGAAGAGGAGGAGGCGGAGGCGGAGGCGGAGGCGGAGGAGGAAGAGGAGGAGGAGGAGGAGGAGGAGGAGGAGGAGGAGGAGAGCCCCCTCCCCCAAAAGCGGGCCGGCGGGCTGCGGGCGGCGGGTGGCGGCGGAGCGAGCCTCCGCCTCCGCGGCCGCCGCCCTCGCCGCCGCCGCCACCACGGCCGCCGCCGCGGCCGCCGCCCCTGGCGCCGGGGCCGAAGCCTGCCTCGATGGCCTCGCTGGGAGGGGTCGTCATCGGTGGCGACGTTGGCGTCGTGGAAGTCGTCGGCATGGTCTTCTCGTCGTTGTCGGTATAGATGTCCCCTCCTCCTCCTCCTGCTCTTTCTGCCCGTCCTCTCTCACTCCTGTTCCTCTTATCTCCCCCTCCTCGCCCTCGTCTTCGTCCTTCCGCGCTGGAGGGGAGGAGGAGAGGAAATCGGGGGGAGTCGGAAAGGGAGGGGGGCAGAGAGGGAGATACCTCCCCCCATTCCTCCCTCGTCAATCCTCCCTCATCCTCGCTCCTGCCGCCTCCCACTCCTCCTCCTCCTCTTCCCTCTTCCTTGTCCCTCGTCCCCCTTCTTCTCCTCCCTGCTCCTCGCCGAGCTGATGGGCTCCGTAGCAAGCCTTAGAGGCCAGCTCCAGGAGGAGGCAGAGCGCGTGGTGGGCGGCAGGGCCGAACCCAAACGGTGTTTCTCGTTTTCGTTTTGTCTTCGTTTTCCCTCGTCTTGTCTTCAATCCACCTCTACAACAAAACGACATCGAAACGGAAACGACCCACGAGATCGCCAAAACACCGTTTAGGTCCAGCCTTGGTGGGCAGCAAGCTCACGCCGCCGCTCCGCGGGCTTTGCACCGGCGATGGCCCGAGAGCAGCAGCGCCGTGCCCGAGGAAGCGCAGCGCCTGCAGCCTGGTGTGGCGGGGCCGCGCGATGGGGCCCTGCCGCTCCGCCAGCTCCAGCCGCAGCTGGAGCTCCCAGGCGGCAGCACTGGCACACCATGTAGGTCGGGCCTGTCCCCCTACAAGGGGATTTGGGACGAAAAATAATAATAATAATCATAATAATCATAATAATAATAATAATAATAATAATAATAAGACTAATCGTAATAATAATAGTAATAATAGTAATAATAATAATAATGCTCGAAAAGATACCCCAAAATACTCAAAAATAGTCCCCAGACGATGTCTTTACTATTTTTGAATATTCCCCCTGTAGAGGGACAGGCCCGACTGAACACCATGTGGACCCCACCAGGCGGGCGGGCGGACACCCAGATCGGGGTGGGGGCCCGCAGTGCCTTGATGGATACGGGCACGGACAAGCTCAAGGCTGGAGGTCCAAGGCGAGCGCAGCGAGCCCGCGATGGAGCCGCAGAGGGAGCCTGGCGAGATCGCGGATGAGGTGTGGCAGCGCCTTGCCCAGCAGCTCGTTCGGCTTTACTCGTATCGTGATCAACTTGCCCGAGTGTGGCTTCTACACGGCAAGTGCAACGTGGGAAAGGCCGCCAATTGTTTATCTTGCTTTCTTTCTTTCGCGAGCTTGCCACCCCAATTCCCTCGACACCTCGCGGGGTGTCCCACGCACTTCCGGGTGCAACTCTCAATAAACCTGTGATGGGGCGCCGATATCGGTGATCTGCCGGTGAATCGGTACCATCGACTTACATGCCTGCGCGTGGGCGGGCTCGCAGCGCAAGTAATGCAGGGGAGTGCGGGCCACACACCGCTGGCCAAACTGCAGAGAGGGATAGGTATTGCCCTTGGGTCGGACGCGACTTCAACAAGCCTTGCCCGTAGTCGTAACTGCTGCGCTGGGTCCGCTCATCTCCGCGGGGCTGGACGCAACGTCAGCACGCTCGAGTGTGTAGGTATGGAAAAAACGACTGCTGAGGGCATGTTCATCCTTCTTTACGCAGAGAGCTGACGTCCGCACTGCATACGGCGATGCCTGACTCCATGGTCGATGACCGCAATCCCCCGAGCAGCGACGCCAGCGGCGGACGCGGCTGATTATAACTCTTCCCGCATGCGCCGAGGGTGGCAGCATGGCCGACGAAGCCGGTGTTCCACATCACATCCCCTCCCAGTCCTCCTAGCCAGCGAAACTGCTTCCAGCCGCTGACGTACACATCTCGCACGCTTCGGCGATGCCCTTGTGGCCGACGGCGTCCGTCTCCGGCCTCCCTGCCCCGAGTTCCCCTACCAGCGAACACGCTCCTGGCGTCTCTCCGTCCCCCCCCAGCACGCTGACGACGACATTGTCGCTGTCATTGGCCATGGCGTTGGGCTTCCATTCTCGCCTCCCGCATCTCGCTCAGCAGCGCCAAAGCCCACTGCCACTTCTCGCTCCCAGCATGATTCGGCGGTGGACCAACCTCCCTTTTAAGAAACCTCCCCTTCGTGAGGACGGCCTGGGAACGAAACCGATGGACCTGGACCCGCAAAATTGACGGCCGCGACGCCCTCTCGCGAACCGAAAACGGCCAATTCCTTAATCGACGTGTCTGGGTAGGAGGTCTATCCATCTCCGAATGATAGGTAATCCAGGTGACCAGGAATTCGAAGCGAATCCAGCGGTGGCGACGATGGCCGCTCAGGAGGCCCAGAAAGGGGAAAACGAGGGGAGGGTAGAGGTACGGGTACCTTTTCCTCCTCTGATCAGCAGCGCCAAAGCCCACTGCCGCTTCTCACTCCCAGCATGATCGGGGGCACAATCTTGAGCACCACGCCTAGTCGCGAGCAGCCACAAGGCCAGCTGCCACCGCCTGCCTTTTCTCGCACGCGCCCTGTCCCAGGCATGCCGCCCGGCCTGTGGCATCGTCCATGCGCAACAGGGCGCCGATCGCAGGGCTACACGTCGTTGAATTCTAATCGCGCTCATGTATCATTGCGCTCGTTTCTAATTGCTCCTGGCCCCCTAATGGCCAGGAAGAGGCCCAGGATAGAATAATCAGAAATGGGAAGGGTCTTGGCCCCCCAAGGATCGAAGAACCTTCGAATACTTAGATGTGAACGTGTATAGCAAGATGCGTACTGGTCCACATTTGCCTCGCTCATCACGCCGAGCAGCTACCGGGCCTAGCTACTGCCACCGCCCGCCTTTCCCACGCGCTCATCCACAGGCGTACGCGATGCTGTTGCCTTCACGTCCGCTCTGACCCACGCGAAAGCCTGCCGCCACTTCTCGCCCTTCCTGCAAGCGCTGATCCCAGCACTGCAGCGTAGCGTGCACCCGTGGAGAGTCCACGGCAGGCAGGTCCAAGCGGAGGCCCCGACTGCGCAGGTGCCGACAGCGCGAGCAAAAGAAATGGGGAGGGAGAGCGGCACCAGATAGGGGGGATGGACGCCCCCAGAGACAGAGGACAAGGAGAGGAAAGGAGAGGAGAGAGGAGGCGAGTCGAGGCGAGGAGGGGAGAGGAGAAGAGACGAGAAGAGACGAGACGAAGCGAGAATATACCGTAATAGAAGATAACAGCAGAAAAGGGACGAGACCATAGCACATCAGGTAAGGTAATACCTGAGAACAGCAAAAGCGATACTATAATTTACTGAACGTAATAACCGCAGGAGAACATGAACCACAATACAAAAAAATTAGTCACTGCGTGGAGCTCCCAATATGTGCATCTATTCGCATGGACCTGTCCGCCGTGAGCGTATAGGCGCAATAACTTTCGAATGCAAGCGGGCTTGAGTTGTGACGGTCTGGTCATGAATCTAACTGCGAATGAATTGGAGTGTGAATGAGTCTCAGTAGTACGAGCGCGTCTCTGCGCATGAGCCTGGGGCCTCCTGGGGCCTCCTGGAACCTCCTGGAACCTCCTGGGGCGTCCTGGGGCTTCCCGGGGCCTCCAAGAGCCTCTTGGAGCCTTCTGGAGCCTCTTGGGGCTTCGAGTGGCCTCCTAAGGCCTCCTGGAGCCTCGCGTGGCCTCCTGGGGCCTCCTGGAACCTCCTAGGGAGGATTCGTGCCCCAGGGGAAGCCCAATATAGAGGAACAGACGTACATAGATCATGGCGGAATGGAGCCACAAAAGAAGGGGGGGCAATCTATAGGAACACACTTAAAACACCAGGGGCTCGTGCCCCAGGGGAGGCCCAATCTATTGGAACATGTGTAAAACATTTAGGATTGTGTATACAGGGGAAGGACAAGATATAGAAACATACGTGTAACATCACGGCTTCGTGCTGCAGGTGAGGCCCAATATATAGGAACACACGTAAAACACATGGGAGTGGAGCCACTGCTGGTGCCGTCTGAGGCCTCCTGCTCCTGGGGCCTCTCGGGGCCTCCTGTTGCCTTCAAGGGCCTCCTGGGGCCTCCTGGGGCTCCCTGAAGCCTCCTGGAGCTTCCTTGGGCCTCCTGGAGCCTCTTGGGACATCCTGTGGCCTCTTGAGTCGTCCTGTGGCCTCCTGATGCCTCCTGGGACCTCATGTGGACTCCTGGAGCATCCTGGGGCCTCCTGGAGCCTGCTGGAGCCTCCCGTGGCATCCTGGGGAGAATATGTGCCCACGAGTCTGGCCACCAAACCAGGCAAACCGATCGAGAAGTCCTCACAATCTGGCCACCCTGGGGTCGAACATGAGCGCCTCGATCGAGACATCCTCGATATCTGTTCCGAAAGCGAAGGATGTTGAGCATTCAAACAGGCCAACCGCTCGAGACATCCCCGCCATTTTGGCGCGAACGGAGGCCGTGCAGCACTCCCTGGCGGCCCCCCTTAGGAGGCGCCTCGCACGAGAGATCCTCAACATTTGCTCCGAAAACGAAGGATGTTGGCGCGAACGGAGGCCGTGCAACACCTCATGGCGTCCCCCTTTAGGAGTACTAAAACCAGCAAGCCGCTCGAGGCGTCCTCATCATCTGTTCATCCTCATCCTCATCATCATCATAATCATCATCATCATCATCATCATAATCAACATCTGCTCATCCTCGTCATCTGTTCATCCTCCTCCTCATCATCGTCATCATCATCATCATCATCATCATCGTCAGCATCATCATAATAATCATCATCATCAGCATCATCAGCATCATCATCATCATCGTCATCATCATCGTCATCATCATCATGATCATCATCATACACATCCATCATTCACCATCACCATCAGACTCACATCATACGCTCACCATACCGTGGTCATCATCATGGCATTCATCATCAGCATTGTCTTGTGCAGAGGGGAAGGAGGGGAAGTGAAGAGGTCCGGCACGGTCAGAGAATCACAATAACCCCATCCTTTGGAGATGGGGGAAGAGAAGATAACAAGAGATAATATAGTATAAGGGAAGAGAAGAGAATACACTATATCTTCTGTAAGATAAGAGTAGAGAAGAGAAGGTAATATAATATACTATGATATACGATACGAGAAACTAAGCTCAAGAAATATAATATACTACGGCGAGGTCCTTTTTTTATCCTATCACCCTGGGGCTTATCATGCACAGACAAATTCAGATGCCGTCAAGCAAGGCAAGCGAGGCTGACTGCACCGCAGAGCACGCTCGCCAGAGAGAAAGCGTCGACCGCCGCCTACTGCTGGAGCTGAGCCTCGCGCCTCCGCCGCCGCTCCTGCCTGGCCCACGTCCTCCACGGGGAGCCAGGCCCGAACGTGTCGCGGAGCCAGAGGCGCCCAGCTTCTCGCTCGGAGGCTGAGGGAGCTGGAGGGGCGTCGTCGCCGCCTGCGCCCTGCCAGCCCGGCCTCCGAATGTCGCGGTCAACCGTGAGGGCCACGCATCCAGCGAAGACGTGGCGGCGCAGAGCCAGGAGCCTCTTGGGCCCACGCGCGGGCTCCTGGCGCGCCACCGTCTCCGAGCCGTGGAGCGTGCAGCCGTCACCGACGCCGCCCACGCCGACCTCCTCATCGATCCCCCCGCCGCCAGAGCAGGAGCAGGAGTCCGAGGGAGACGAAGTGATGAGGGCGTCGTCGTCCAGGCTCCTGCCGCCGTTGCGCTGGGGCCTAGCCGCCTCCACGCCGTCGTCCGTGCCGAGGTGCGGGGAGAGGTCGAAGCCGTCGTGCGCCACGGCATCCGAGGCCAAGGACCTGTCGCCGTCCTGGTTGCGGGAGCCGACCTCCTGCATGCTGAACTCGCCGTCGATGTCGCCAGCGGCCCTCTCGCTGCCACCGCTGAGGACGGCAGACTCGTTGGCCAGCAAGTACGCCGTGACGATCGAGGGGTCCGCGAAAGCAGCAGGCGAGGAGGTGCAGGCAGTGCTACACGCCGCACCAGGATCAGGGAGGCGACGAGGATGAACCGCACCACCTTCAGAAGGCCGAGGGGCAGGTTGCTCGCCGAAGCCGCCGCTGCTCTCAGGCCTTGCCAAGGCCGAGTCATCCAATCCCTCGACGCCAGCGTGCCACCAAAGCGGCCCAGAAGCCAGCGGGGCCGCAGTGGGATGACCCGCTCTGCGCACGAGCTCGGCGAGCACGAAGGACGCGCCAGCGGGCAGGCTGCGCCCGCGCCTGCGAGCCACACACCAGCCCGTCTCCACTCCCTCGGCCGCCGAGCGCTGGGCAGGCACGCGGCGGCGTGGAACCGCTGCACCTGCAGGGCGAAGCTGAGGAAGAGCAGCACGACCGCGACCACCAGCATCGCGTCCTTGCCGAGATCGACAACCTGGACCGCTACGCTGCAGTCGGTTGAGCGATGTCAACCTCATCTTCGCAATTGATGCGCCCCTCCTCGAAGCGCAATGCATGCCAGCATTCCGCCTGGCGGTGGCCAGCGGCGAAGCGCGCCTGCATGCTCCCGAGGAAGCGGCCCCATCAACAGTGAGCGACGATGTAAGCTCGTCGCTGACGTCCGCGCCGAGCGTGCCACACTGCGCCCCGCTGCTGCCGCCACAGGGGGGCGGCGCGGCGGGGGCAGCGCGAGGGACAGCGGCGCCAACTGCAGCTGCGCGGCGGTCGACGAGCATGTCCATCAGCACAGGCACGGCCAGGGCCAGACGCGTCGAGAGCTCCTGGACCAGGACGTCGTCGGGGACCTGTTGGCTGCCGAGCGGAAGAGCCGCGATCCGCACGGCCTGCGCCGCCGCCTCCCCGCGCACCGCGCGGCAGTCGGCGAGCTCGGCCTCGAGCGTCGCGACTCTCGCCAAGGCAGCCGCCAGCTTCCCTTGGGCAGCACTGCGCGCAGCGCACTGGCGGGCGCGGCGCGCTGGCTAGAGAGAAGCCGCGGCCCCTCCCGCCTGCCGAGGCTGCTCGGCCGCCACAGGGGCAGCTTGGCAGCCGACCGTAGCCATCTCCCCAAGCGCCCGAACTCTGCGGCCTCCCGCAGGGCCCAAAACGAGAGCGAGCAGAACAGGGAACGGCTTGAGCCAAAATGGCTACGGACGGCGAGGTCCTTTTTTATCCTATCACCCTGGGGCTTTGTCATGCAACAACACATTCCGAGGCCGACTTACGGCCCAGCAAACAGTGCTCGCGCGGACCCGCAGCCCGCCAGGACCAGACCCCGAAGCACGGCACCGTCACTCCGCGCTCTGCCCGATCACGGGTCTGGGGTCCACGATCCTGGCCACTCTGGCAGCCCTGCCACACCCCTGAGCTTCGGCAGCGCTGGCAAAGCCGAAAGAGCCTAGGGCTCCCTCTAGCCCTGGGCGAAACAGCCTCACTGGGGCAGGCGGGACGGGTGCCCGACCTCGCACCTCACGGGGCTCCACCGCGGGGGCTCGAGAGTCAAAAGAGGCCCCAAGGACGTCCCTGTCCTCCGTGCCCGCAAACGTGCCCAGCGCCTCGGCCCACCTGGCACGGGTGGCCGCAGAGGGCCGAGCCAACTGGTCAATTGGCTGCTTGAGTTCTGGCAGGAGTGATTTCGCGAAATCATTGCGCGCTTGCGCCCTAGAGCCCTGTTTGGCCCTGGGGTCTCCAGCTCGCTGTGCCCCTCCACAGGCCATAGCCAGGCCTCGGTGGCAGTACTGGGGCGTCAGGCAATACATCCAGCACGTCACACAGACCAAAAACTCAGGGCAATCGCTGCCAGAAACGCGGGATTCCCTCAGACGGTGGCCATTGACTTCCCAGACCCCCGACCCGCCAGGGTCGGGAGAAACAAAAGAAGCCCCAGGGGGCCCCACCTGCCCAGCAGGGCCCGAGAGGGCTCTCCGAGGCTGGTCGGCGGCCACCGCGGCAGGGGAGGCCCCAGCTGAGGGAGTGGGCGAGGGGGTCGACTCAGCCGACGTGGGCGGGCACTGTGCGCCAGCGGCCGAGGTCGAAGCCCTCTGCGCCTTGTCCGCGCGGCTGCGCTGTACAGCACGAAACAGGGCCGCCGACGCGCTGGGCGCGTCTGCGGCTGGCTCACTGGGCCTGACTGGCCCGACACCTGCATCCTCCGTCATGTGGGCATTCTTGTCAGCCCTCTCCTGGGCCTGGGCGCCCTGGCTGGCCGCTGCAGCCGCCGCCATCGCCGCGACTCCCGCGGCCTCCAAGCCTCCTGAGCCGCGGGCCGCCGACCCTTCGTCCTCCAGCAGCTGCTCCAGGTCGGGCGACGGGGCGAAGGGGTCCAGGCCCACCAGGTCCAGTGAGGAGAGCGGCCAGGCGCCCCTGAGCCCCGACCCGGTGATGTGCACCTCCAGGTCCGCCGCGCACCTGGCCACCTCCTTCGCCCGAGCAAGACAGCCCTCCAGCATCATGGCGTCCTGCTCTGCAATGGCGTGGAAGGCAGCCCCTTCCTTTGCCCTGGTGTCGGCACGCATGTTGCCCAAGAGCTCGAAGTGGGTGAGCTCCCCGTCTCTCGCCGCGGCTTCGGAGCGGTGGGCTGGCACGTGGCGTATGATTACGCCCTCCGCTGCGTCCCCGACCCTGGCCCACACGTGGGCGCGCAGGGAGCTGGGGCCGCAGGCCTTGGCCAGGTTGGAAGCCGCCTTCACCGTGCTCAAGCAGTCGCTGAGCAGCGTGTAGTTCCCGATGATGTCGGCGAGGCCAATGGCGGCGGCGTAGTCCCCCCCTGCCTCTGCCGTCTGCGACGGGAGGTCGCTGGGGGGCACTGCTCCCCAGGCCTCGGCGAGCAGCCTCCCATCGGGCCCGCGCGCGATGACGGCCCACCCCGCGCTCCTGACGTGCGGGAAGTCCCCATTCAGGCACGAGCCGTCAGTGAAAACGAAGGACCCGTCTGGCACCACCAAGATGCCGCCCCCCCAGCCGCAGGATCTCCACGCCCAGCTGTCGTTCCACACTGGCCTGACAACGAGGAGGCTGATGTCCGCGAAGAGCCCCTGGCTGAAGAGCTCGTCGAAGGGGGTCCCCATTCGGTGGACCTGCTCCGCCGCCTTCCTCACCTGGAACGGGCAGTAGTCCCGCCTCCAATGCGCCCATGCTGGGCACTCGTGGTGCCCGTGGTGCATCGTCCCAGGGGCGGCTCCGCAGAGTCTGCACAGAGGGTCGATCTCACGCCCATGCCTTGCCAAACGGGCCTGGGGCCAGCTGGCCAGGAAAGCAAGGCGTCTCAGACAGCCTTTGTGGTGGGCCGCCCAGGTTGCCGATTCCTTGGCGCCTAGGAGCTGGTTGATCGGCGCCCACCACGGCGGCAGCCGCCGCTGCCAGAAGGTCTCGGGCCTGCTGGTGTACTCTTCCAGCGATGCCGCCTGACGCGTGTCCTCGTTGACCTTGGCGGCGAGGAAGGCGGGCGAGAACCTCGAGACCTCGAACTCACTGCCCGCCCTGTCGGTCAGGACCCGTCCACCAGCGCTGAGCCCCCAGCCGACCCTCCCCAGCGTGAGCACCAGCGCCGAGACGGGGTCGCGCACCGCTGCCCAAGGCCTCTGCAGCGAGGCCAGTCGCCTGCTGTCCCTGAGGCAGGCCTGCACAGCGGCAGGGGAGGCCTGACCAGACCAGCACATAGACACGAACGCCTGGACTGCCAGGCCCGTCGCAATCATCAGCGGATCCTGTCTCCAGCCCTGGGGGGCGCACTGCAGGCTGAAGGTCAGTGCCGCCCCCGTCGGCAAGTTGCAGGCGGCTTTCGCCGCGGCGACCCTTAGAGCCCTCATGAGCCCTGGCGGGATTCCGTTGATGGCCGAGCTCCATAGGGCCTTAGCTGCGGGGCCAGCCCTCTGGATCTTGGCCTGCCTCATTCCTGCGCCGAAGATCCTGGTGAGGTTGTTGCCCTGCCTCAACGCCGCCAACTCCCTGGACACCTGCGTCTCGACCCTGCGGTGGCCGCCAGCCGTCGCATCCCCTCCAAGGTCGCGGTGTCCCGAGACGAAGGCTTCGTCTGCTAGGACCCAGTCGGCGTGCTTCTGCAAAGCTCTCCTCAGACTCACCGAGGAGGCCAGTGCCTTGGTCTTTTTCCAGTTGATGGGGAGCCTCTTGTCGCCCAGCATGGTGGCCACTCCCTTGGTGAACCTGGCGATCTGCTCAAAGACCAGCCTGCGTGTGCCAATGCCGTGGCCCGAGATGTCGTCGATGACATTGACCACCCTACCGATCGGCAACATCTTCCTCGACTTTAGCAGGAGGTCGTACAGCATAATCCTCGCCATCGTCGTGGCGCAGGAGCATCCCGCGATGACGGTGTCGTCGATGTCCAGCTGCTCGCTGAGGGCCAGGTCGGCCCTGGCCCTGCGGGGGCCTGAGTACAGCACGCAAAGCGCCTGGATCAGACCCGTGTTGAAGTCGCAGCCCCTCGCCGCGTCGAGGAGCAGCCCATGGTTGATCTGTTCATAGAACTTGCTGATGTCGAAATAGACGGACGCAGCCTCGAAGTTCTTTTCTCTCGCCAGACCGAGCAGAAGGTTGTGAATGTATGCCGCCCTGTCACAGCTGGTGTCTGGGTCTGCCCCCCAGTACTCGGGGAGCTTGTGGTCCCTCTCCCAGCCCGCACAGTATTTGCGCCTGATGCGGCTCCAAATTCTCAGCCAACTGCAGAGGAGCCCGATCGGGCGGCGTCCCCCGTCGGGCTTCCCCAAGAAGACTATGATCGTGGTGAACAGCTCCGACGGCTTGGGGTGCCGTTCCCAGGCTGTCAAGATCGCTGCCAGCCTGGCCGCGTACTCCCTGCCAAGGCTGAGGATAAGCCTGGGGTGGAAGGCGCCCCAACCCAGCGCCGTCTTCCTGGGAAAGGACCTCGCTGCAGCCAGCACCTCGTCCTCCGTGATGGCGTCCAACCCCAAGGGCTCGTCCCAGTTCTCGGGTCGGACGCTGGCTGAGCCCTCTTTGTGCCACAGCGCCTTCCACTCTTCAAGAATCCTATCCAAGGCCTGCTGTCCGACCAGCGGGGCCGGGGGGGCCTCCACTCCTTCAGGGCCGAGGATGGAGCAGGACTCGTGGTTGCCCTGCATGCTGATCGCGTGAGCGCCGTTGCCGTTCCCGCTGAGGGACTCGCTCATGAAGTCCTTCCAGCGCTGCCTGGCCAGCTTCACGTCCTCCCTGCGCTTGACCTCCGAGGTAGCGCTGATGGCTTGGAGGAAGAGGCTGCCCTGCTCCGACCTGTCCAAGATCTCCGCCAGCAGCGTCGACATCTGGTTGCCGCCGAACATCTCGCAGCCTTGTGCCTCGAACTTGGGGACCAGGTCAAGGGCGGCCGCCTGCAGTCCCTTGACGTGCTTGAGGTGTCTGGGCGAAGGGTGGGGCACCGCAGCCGCGGAAGCCAGCTGAGTGGCCAGGCGCCCCAATGTAATCCAGCAGCGCGTTAGCGGGCTGGTCCTGCGCACCTCCTCCGAGCGCAGGAGGTGGATGAGCTGCTTGGGCACCCTCTTGGGCCCCTGCGCCCTGCCACGGTACTTGGCCCCGTCCTTGATGCCGAAGAGGTGGAGCAGGCGCCCCTCGGCCTTGTCGAAGAACTCCTTGATCGCCTCGTTCGGGCTCCCGCATTCGTCCAGGAGCGGCGCCTTCCAGTCCGTTAGGGAGTCCTCTTCCTCAGGTTCAGGCTGGATCCCTTCCTGCTTCGCTCCTGGCAGCTCGAACGGCTTGGGGCCCTTCTGCACCCAGACCCCTGCCTGGTTGCACAGCTTCTCAAAGGTGAGCCTGACTGGGATGTGCGGGTACGTCGTCGCCTGTCTGAGCACCGACACTTTCGGCCCTAGCCCTGCCAGTGCGTCCGAGATCGCGAAGAAATCGTACGTGCTCTCCCCGCACGTCGGCTCATCGGGCGCCACAATCACTGCTCCCACAGCTCGTGGCCACCACGAGCTGCTGAGGAGGCTGGGCTCCAAGTTCCAGTCTCCGCCCACAACGAAGGGCTCGCTCAGGCCAAGGAGGAAGCCCTGCAGTTCGCTCAAGAGGTCCACGTTGGCTTCATTGAGCTTGACCGAGCACTGCAGGTACAGGCCCACGCACACCACCACCAGGTCCCCGAAGGCGACGCGCCTCGCCACTATCCTGGAAGCGTG